AGCCGTACGCATGTGTTTGGCCGGCGTGTGGACAACGGTTTGCTAGCAATCAGGCGCTTAAGACACATGTGAACGAACACCAGGGGCTCCGACCCTATAGTTGTCAATACAGTGGATGTGATAAGAGGTTTAGCGGTAAACCCGGTCTCAGACAACACATGAAAGTCGTTCACAAACACAACGTTTAGTTAAAGTTTACAAACTGTTGCATTGAAACACGTTATTTGGATACGAAAATAACAAATACAAACTACTGTATTATATAAGAGGCAGTAAATGACCGTAACGTTAGTGACTAACCGTACAATTCATTGATCCACTTAATATTAAATGAAGAGTTATTTAATGCATTTAACTCACAAACTTGAGTCTATATTTACTGCTTTACTCACTAACGTTATTGTCATTTATCAACACATATATTAAATATTTAACTTATTTATAATTTAGTTATAAATTGGAAAATTAAATCAATTAATCGTCTAATACTTTTGTAATTTATTATTGCTTTTAATGTGTTGCATAATATATACGTGTGTATGATATAAGAAAATTGTCAGACAATAGATCACTAATTAAATGGTTATGTATTAAATCTATTTTTAATTTTAATTTATAAATTATAATTGCCATCAAATGTTATAAAAATGTGATAATAATTAAAAGTTTATTTTCTCTTAAAAGTTTGATATGAAAAGCCGTTATTTATGTTTGATTCATGACCTCAACAGCTGATTGAAAACAACAAGAGTTATGAATTGGTGTTTAAATTGCGATTAAAATCATGTCTAAAACGAGTGAAGAGTTAATCCATGAAAACAATAGACTATTAAATGAATTGAATTATAGTTTAAAATGCATTGAATTTCTCAATAATTACAGAAAATGTTTATTAGATTTGTATAAACGCTGTGTTTGTAATCAAATCGGGAATAACTTATTGGTTGACACACTTGAGAGACAATACCAGCGCATTGTCATCGAGTCTAAGCCCAAGACATTAGTGGTCACCGAAACCACACCAACACTAGTGGTCATCAAATCTGAACCGAAAGACACAATCGATGACAACAATGAGAGCCAACACTCGGACTCTATGTCTGAGACGTTTGAGACAATGGATGACAACTCGAGTGACACTCAACTCGAGAGCACAGAAGAGAAGACATGCGATGGTATGGAAGACAACGACAGCCAATCCGATGACAACTTGAAGTGTTTGTCAAACTTTGAGGCGAAGAGCTGTGCCAGCGATGGGTCGGAAGTGGTGAAGACATTGTCGGCCAAAATACGCTTCAAAACCGTTGTCGGCGAAGACGGCCGGCAGTGGTTTGGATGCAATACATGTGGCAATGAATACGAGTTTGAGTCACAACTACACCAACACTGGAATCAAATGCACTTCGGGTCGGAAACAGAGGACAAAAATAGTACGGATGCGTTGATACGGGCGAAGACCAACGCCGAGCTCAAGAAGATTGTGGTCAAAGACGGCAAACAGTTCTTCGTATGTAAGATATGTAACATTGAATTCAAATATGAATCAACTCTTGACAATCACTGCCATAAAGTGCATAACCAGAAGGGCTTCCGATGTGACCAAAAGGGCTGTTCATATGAGGCGCCATCGAAACGGCATTTAAGGGGACATCTGAAGAGTACTCATAAACTCAGTGATAAACCAGAAATTGTGTTTGAGATGATGTGTCCGGTGGACGGGTGCGCACAGGTATTCGCGTCGAGCAATGAGTTGGCCGCTCACCGGGTCTACAATCACACTATCTGTCTGTGCAGTGAATGCGGCGAAGAGTTTGTGAGTCGTCGGGCGCGGACACAACACATACAATCGCATCACAAAGAGAAACACAAAGAGAAACACAAATGCCATCAAACGGGCTGTCAATACGAGACATACATTAAGACAAATTTGTCTGAACACCAAAAAATGCATCAAAACATACGTGAGTTTCGGTGCGAAGTACTCGACTGTGGCCGCAGTTTCTACACCAAACGTCATCTCAAGCGTCACGCAGTGGTTCACAGCGATGAGCGGCCCTTCACTTGCGATTGGCCCGCATGTGAGGCCACATTCAAAACTAACCGCGTTTTGAGAGATCACCGACTCATTCATGAGGGTATTCAGCAGTTTAAGTGTCCGCACATCGCATGTGATAAGAGTTTTGTGACCAGAGGTTGCCTATCGACTCATCGACGGTCTCATAGGAATGAAAAGCCGTACGGCTGTGATTGGCCGGAGTGTGGTCAACGGTTTGCCACTAATCGGACCCTTAAGAAACATATGAACGAACACCAGGGGCTCCGACCCTATAGTTGTCAATACAGTGGATGTGATAAGAGTTTTAGCGGTAAACCCGGTCTCAGAAATCACATGAAAGTCGTTCACAAACACAACGTTTAGTTAAAGTTTACAAACTTAACTACTTTACTCAATAACGTTACTGTCATTTATCAACACATATATTAAATTTAGTTATAAATTGGAAAATTAAATTCAATTAAACGTCTAATACTTTTGTGGTTTATTATTGCTTTCAATGTGTTGTTAGCATAATATATACGTGTATTATATCAGAAAATTGTCAAATAATAGATCACTAATTAAATAGTTATGTATTAAATCTATTGTCAATTTTAATTTATAACTTATAATTGCCATAAAATGTTATAAAAATGTGATAATTAAAAGTTTCTTTAAGTTTGATATGAAAAACCGTTATTTATGTTTAATTTATGACAACAACAGCTGATTGAAAACAACAAGAGTTTTAGTTATGAATTGGTGTTTAAATTGCGGTTAAAATAATGTCTAAAACAAGTGAAGAGTTAATCCATGAAAACAAAAGACTTTCAAATGAATTGAATTATAGTTTAAAATGCATTGAATTTCTCAATAATTATAGAAAATGTTTATTAGATTTGTATAAAAGCTGTGTTTGTAATCGCATTGGGAATCAGGTATTGGTTGACACACTTGAGGCTAAATACCAGTACATTGTCGTCGAGTCTAAGCCCAGGACACCGGCGGTTGTCACCAAAAGCACAACACATGATGTGGTCATCAAATGTGAGCCGAAAGACACAATCGATGACAACAATGTTAGCCAACACTCGGACTCTATGTCTGAAACTTTTGATACAATGGATGACAACTCGAGTGATATATAGCGGGGATAACTAAAACACGTGACTAAACACAATTTAATCACAATTTACGCGAGATTCACACAATTTAAATCAAACAAACTTTAATTTAAAAACACTATTTATTAAAATCTCGCCTTCAATACAAAATACACGCCAATTATAAACAATAAACTACTTTTAAATAATTATAAACCATATTATAATTTAGAGAAACACTAAATGCGAGTAGAATTCAGAGGTCCTCTTGACTTGTCTCCACTCGAGTCCTAACAACAACTGTCCTTTTATTCCTCTTCTCATTCAATATATCTTCTATTTATTCCTATCTTAACATTAATTCTCATTTCTATTTCCTTATTCTTCTCGCATTTATTGTTTCCTATTTTCATTAATAAATCTTAAAAATAAACATTAAGTCTAAATATTCAGGATTTCTGGGTTATAGAAGTGCTCGCATTTAGGGATTAACACCAAATTGATAGCCTTCTCATAGCATTGCTCGTAGAATAGGCTTTAAAAGGGGTTTAGAGGGCGAGCATTGGGTTGAATGTCCTTAATGTATATTCCCGCTAAATTGTGACCACCATTATAGATACTCAACTCGAGAGTACGGAAGAGAAGACATGCGATGGTATGTATGATATGAATTACAACTACATTGTGATCAATAATAAGAGCATGTGTTGTCAGACTTTGAGGTGAAGAACAATACCAGCGATGGGTCCTCAGGACTGAAGACACAAATAATGACCAAATGCGAGACAAACGATATAATGGATGAACCAAACAATGATAGCCATGAGTGGGACGACTACTCTGACACCGTTGAAGACATTTTTGAGATGATCGATGACTACTCGAGTGACACTCACGTCAATAACACACTATTGAGATCAGCGTTAAGTGTTAAGACAAGTGATGGTAAGTGTTTGGCCGACAACTGTGTGAACAGCTCTGTCAGCGATGATTCCGCTCGTCTGAAGACACTATCGGCCGAAATACCATTCAAAGTGGTCGTCGGCGGAGACGGTCGACGAGTGTTTGTATGCAATACGTGTGGCAATGAGTACGAGATTGAGTCACAACTGCATCAACACTGGGAACAAATGCACTTCCATTGCGATAAAGACGCTAATACTTGTGATCCGAATATGAGAGACGGGTCCTTACGGGCCAAAGGCGCCACTGAATCGGCCTTCAAAAAGATTGTCATCAAAAACGACAAAAAAGTTTTTATTTGCAAAATATGTGACATTGAGTTCACTTATGAACCAACTCTTGACAAACATTGTTATGAAAATCACGGCCAGAAAGGCTTCCGATGCGACCAAAATGGCTGTCAATACGAGGGGCCGTCGAAATCACATCTGAGAACACATCTAAAAAGGGGTCATAAAAGGAGAGACAATGAGTCATATGTCTGTCCGGTCGACGGTTGCGGACAAGTGTTTATTAAAAAACGTGAGTTAAGCGGACACCAGCTCTCTATCCACACCGTCTGTCAGTGCGAAGTGTGCGGTGAAGAGTTTGCCGGTCAAAGGGAGCGCTCAATTCATAGGCGATCGCACAATCAAATGAAACACAAATGCCATTTCCCGGACTGTACTTTCGTGACGGACAACAATACATCGTTGACTCACCACAGGAGCAGACATCTCAACGTACGCCAGTTCCGGTGCGAAGTGGCCGACTGTGGCCACACTTTCGTCACTATCAATGAACTCAAGCGCCATTCATTGGTCCACAGCGTTGAGCGGCCGTTCGCCTGTGATTGGCCCTCGTGTGCGGCCACATTCAAAATCGCATCCCTACTGAACGCACACCTACTCATTCATAAGGGTATTCGGCAGTTCGAGTGTCCGGCGACCGGATGTGGTAAGAGTTTTGTGACCAAAGACAGTCTTCTGAAGCATAAACTGCTGCACAGCGACCACGAGTTTGCGATCTATAACATGAAAGTACAATACAAAAAGTTACACAAATGCGGACAAACGGGCTGTGACTACGAGACAGACAATAAGACAATATTTACTGAACACCAAAAAAGGCATCAAAACATACGTGAGTTCTCGTGCGAAGTACCCGATTGTGGCCGCAGTTTCTACACCGTTCGTGAGCTCAAGCGTCACGCAGTGGTCCACAGCTATGAGCGGCCCTTCACTTGCGATTGGCCCGCATGTGAGGCCACATTCAAGACTTCCGATTGTTTAAATAATCACAGACTCACTCACGAGGCTATTCGGCAGTTCAAGTGTTCGGAGACCGGATGTGATAAGAGTTTTGTGACCAGACGTTGTCTTTCGAGTCATAGACGGTGTCATAGGAATGAAAAGCCGTACGGCTGTGATTGGCCAGAGTGTGGACAACGGTTTGCCAGTAATCAGGCGTTCAGAGCACATGTGAACGAACACCAGGGGATCCGACCCTATAGTTGTCAATACAGTGGATGTGATAAGAGTTTCGGCGGTAAACCCGGTTTCAGACAACACATGAAAGTCGTTCACAAACACAGCTTTT